CTGGGCGGCGGGACCCTCTGGGTTCGGCGTCGTCGCTTGGGGGAGCGACCCTGGCGGGGCAAGGGGGACGATCCTGGCACAGACTCCCAGAGTCCTTTCTTCCAGCTTCACACGTCTGCACTCTTCTTACTGTCCTAGCCCGGATTCCCGATGGCGGGGATAGCCTCGAATGGACCCGGCGGCTTCAAGGTCTCCCGAACCTGCCTGCAGTCCGCGGGAGAGGCGTGGGAGAGCCTCCCATTACTACCCCTCTTGTTATTTTATGGCGTTCTTTAATAGTCTGTCTCCACAGAGCCAGACGTAGCTTTAATACGCTGGCTCTCTCGTTCGTCCTCGCTCAGACCCTCCCTCTACTCCCCCAAAACTGTTACAACAGCAGGAAACGTTAAAGAAGGGGGGTAGGCAGAGGGACACGAATATTTGATGGTTAGAGTTGCGGATTTTTGTTTTCCAACAAGTTTCCCCGCAGCTGTTATCAAAACATGCAAATGAGATTTTCCAACGGGATCTTAAACAAATCTGGAGGAGTTAATGCCGAAGCAAAATAATCAGCCCGTTTGAAGTGACTGCGGGTTTCGGTTTGTCTTTTCTCCCTGCGATGCGAGTGCAGGGGAATGATAATTAGACCTTCCCTCTGAAACTCCGAAGGGGCTCGCGCGCCCTCCTGGCTCCCTCTCTCCCCTCCTCCCCCCTCCCTCCCTCTCGCGCTCCCTCCCTCGGCCTTTCTCTCCGACTCTGATGTTGGCAAAGGGCTTTTCTTAATCAGACTGCTTTTTGGTCCGAGGGAAAGGAGGAAGAAGGAGATTGTGATGGAGAAAGGGGGTCTGTGAAACGTCAGGCCGGCACAAAGGCTTTGCCACGTAATTACAGGCTCCTATTAAGTCGAGATCTGCCCTCCCAGGGGTCTCCAATTTTCTTGTATTCCCTACAAAGCCTCCTCTGCATGCCAGTTTGTGCCTTTTGAAGTGCCAGAGAGCTTCTTGATCCAACTGAGAAGGAAAAAGGAGCTCGGCAAGAAGAGGGGGAGAAAGAGAAGGGAAAGGGGGGACCCGCCGCTTCCATCCGTCGAACTCCTGAAGCCCTACTTTTTTTTAATTTTAATTTTTTTTTTTTTGACTCCTTGCGAAAAGTAAAGTGAGAATCCTGCTCGCTAATACATCTGCAAGACATCACCCTCTCCTGAAACTCTAGTCACTCCTGAGAATCCACAGGAGTGCGGAGAGGGGGGAACACGTTTTCTTGAAGATGTTTTAAAGCTGGAACAAGCCTTCTTCTGTTGGTGCTTGAACTCTTGCCTGGGAATAACTTTCTTAACCTTTAGAAAAAAACCCACTTTGATTCTCCTCTCCCACCCCTCCTTCTCTCTTCTTCTGTTTGCCCAACTTCCCCCGCCCCGCTGGCCTCTTGGCTCCTGTCTCCCGCTTATTATTATTTCTAGTGTGTGCGTGAGGACGCTTTTGGAGAGCTGGAAGTGACTTGAACACAGGGCGACTTTTCAATTTTATTTTTTGGTGTGGATTATCTCTTTGGGCCGCGCCGGACTTGGCCTCGGGAAAACAACAAGGCTGCGCGGAAGGCGGCCGGTGCAGAACGCTCTGCTCGGCAGAAGGGGGTCCCCCGCCCTCTTTTCCTTTTTTTTTTTTTTTTTTTTTT